TGATTGTTTAAGCTTCCTTGTACTTCCCTCAAGCTATTTCAATGCTTATCTTGCTTTGAGGATGGCTGGAAATCTCTGGACAAGTCAAGCTGCAAGCTTCCAAAGTGAAAATGGTGGATGCTGAAACAGGGGTTACAGAACCAGGGTGATGGCTTGGATTGCTTTGGTATGATGTGTATGAGATGTTTCAAGTGTTTAAACACAAAACGCACGAGCCAAAAATTGGTTGGCTGTGATTTTGCAGAAGTTCCGAGTTTTTGCAGTTTTGTGGAGTTTTTGAGTTTTAGAGAGTTTCAGCTTCAAATCAATCGTGCTATGCCTTGTACAAAGATTGAAAATATGTAGAGAAGTGATGCAAAGTCAGCCCTTACTAGATGTGCAAGCTCTAGCACCTTTTGCAACTTTTCTTGCATTTGAAGTAAAGTGACAAGACCAATGCTACATGCTTGTACTTGCTTGCTTGAGGGCTGATAACGGTTGGTACACATTGCTTGAGACCTGTAGAAATTTCTTGCACCAAAGGGACAGGTTCAATGCTCAAGATTGACAAAGTTGCAAAAGTTGCCCTTTATGAAAATGGCATTGTAACCTTTTGGCCAAAAATGGAAATACACCTTGTACAAAGCTTCAAAAGCAAAGATAAAGCCTTTGTCAACTGAGTTTGCATTTAATTATGGAGTGCAAAGCAAGCTTAGGACCTGTAAAGCAATATACAACCATCATAGATCTGATTTGCAACTTGATGCTATGTAAAAATGGCTTGATCAAAAGTGAGAAAATGCCAACTTCCCTTCTTCGATTCTCCCTACTCAAAAATGATCTTGGAGAGTTCTTGGACATTTTGAAAAGCTTGCAATGTGCTCTATAATCAATATTTGAAATGAAAATTTAGATACCTATTGGAACTAGGTGAAAAGTTGCCATGAAGTTGGGTCCAAAACCTGCCTAAATTAGGGCAAAATTTCACTAAGTTATTTAGTTCATGGACCTATATTCACAAATTCATAACTTGAGATCCAAGCATGTTTTGGGAAAAGTTTGTGAAGTAAAGTTGTAGATTTAATGTAGGACTACAACTTTCAGGTTGGAATTTTTCTTTGAATCAAAATGCATCATGGTGAAAAAGTGGTGAAAAGTTGGGGGAAAAAAAGAAAATTTTTATACTTAGAAAAATTCTAAGTTATGAAAATTTTCAAATTAAAACCCTAATTTTCAAATTTGAGTTTCTTGGTGAACAAGTTTCATATTTTGACACATCTTGATGAATTATGACCCTTGGCACTTGATTTTGACCAAAAAGTCAAAGTTTAACTTTTCAGTGTACAGTTGACTTTTAATCAGTTGACTGCAAAATTCATCTGTCAATCCAATGAACTTGAGATCTTTTGAACCATGTAATTAGGTCAAGATGATGCCATTGAATCCTTGAAATCATGTTTGAAATCAATTGCTCATTGGCTAGGTTAAAAATCAGAAATTGCCCTTTCTCAGTCAAAACCCTAATTTGGACCATTTTGCCCTTTTGATGATTTGATCAAACTTCTTGAGGAGTTGTGATCCAAACTTGATCAAATGATACATATGAGTCTAAAATGTTTATGTGGATCAAAAATCATGAAGTTTGACTGTAAATTGGCCATGGTTGACTTTTTCCCCAATACAACTAATTTTTAGGTCAACTGTCCAATTGACTGATAAAAAATGTGGTTCAAGGCTTGGAACTTATTATGAGCAATCTTAAGTGTCCAAAATGGTGTATGAAAGTCACATGAAGCATTGGTGGTCCATAAATCCTTGTGCAAACTCAAACCCTAATTTTGGGTTATTAGTGCAAGATGAGGTGTCTTGAGCTGACCAAACCCTAATCTTGTCTTGAGTCCAAGAAGTCTTGTGAGAAAAATCTTGATAAATGAGAGGGCAAATTTTGTGGTAAAACAAAACCCTTGAATCCTAAGTGTATATAGCAAATTAGTTTTGACTTATCTATGAATATAAATAAATTGAGGGATACTTTGAGGTAGATAGCAATGTAATTATTGGACATCATACTCCATACACAAGAGGGAAGGGTAAATTGTGGAGGTTTTAAAAACTTTGATAGAAAACAAAATCTTTGATAAAATCAAAGTTTAAAATCATTTGTAAAATAAATAAGTAAATAAGCAACAAAATAAAGAAACATATAGAAAACCAGGGGAAAGAAAATAAATGAAAAGTAAAAGAGATAGGAGAAATAAAAAAACACCAACATGTTATAAAGGTTCATTCTAAACACCAACAGGTTGGAACTAATCGATTATTATTTGTAAAAAGGATTCCAATTGATCAGATAGTTCCCTAGTCAGTTAGATAAGCCTTAAAAATATTTTTAGGTGGTTTTAACAAATTAATAGAGGCTTCTCAAAGGTTTTAAGCATGGGTATATGATTTTACTTTAGAAATTCCAAAAACACCCTTGCGCCTTTATAAGATTTTGATCACTCAAACACACATGACTAGATGAGCTTTCACCCTTTCTCTCTTTCACAATTCTGAAGCTTAAAGTCTCGACATCATTGTATTTGAATTTAGAATTACACAAGATATTTAGCTTGATGAAGCTTGAGATATTTTCAAGTTGATTACCATCATCATAGAGTTGAGAGACCAAAACACTGGATAATCTTGAAACAAAAGTCTTCACTTGAACATCGTTTGATGGAAGAGATGACTTGATCTTCTAGACGTTTAGCTGAAGGATATGTGCACTATCCCAAAGATCTGGGTTGACGAATATGTTGATTTATTCTGATATCTCTAGTGACTAATATGTTGATTTATCCATGGGAGGGTATGTTGATTTACATATAATGATCTAATTATGCTAAAAAGTGGCTCATCTCAACAATCTTATTTGAGGAATATGTCGATTTATTCGAATATGTCCAATTATGGATATGGTGGTTTATCCATGAGAGGGTATGTTGATCTATTATGATGATTCGGTCATATAGATATTTCGATTTATCTCATGACTAAGTTATAGGGCATGTTGACTTGACCTTGGGTGGTCAGTAAGAGAATATGTTGATTTATTCCTAATTGGTGGGTATGACGATTTATCATGTAATCAGATAAATTTCATGAGTATTGGATCTTTCGTTCTAGAATATACATCAGGTAGACTAGGAACTAGGATGGATCAAGGTTTTAGATAGGAATCCACTGAGATTAGTATCTCAGGCCGCATTGTTATATTATTTTTCAGATAAGCAGATGCTTAGATTGAATTCGTAGTTGGGGATTAAATGCTTAAGACCCATTGGATCATATTTTTGTCGTGCTGAAGATTTTTGTCTAATAGATGATGTATCAGTTAGACTTGTTGTATTATAAAATTTTATCTGGTCCAATCCTATAATTGTACATTAATGTATCATCTATTAAAAATTCACACCACAATTATTATTCTAGACATGTAATTATGGTGTTACAATTTATAGGGTCAAATCCACGTCATAATCGATTATGATATAGAAAAATAGAATATACTTTACTAGATCTAAACATAATCAACTAAAAAGCTTATTTAATCGATTATTTACCGACTTCACCCTATAATCAATGACACACATGCCATAATTGATTAGAGAACGAATTTTATTGTATAATAAATTAAATAAGCAATATAATCAATTATACTTTTGTCTTCAAAAACTTTTACCAAACTAAGATGTTTCAAAAAAATAATTTAAAAACATATTTTTGTGGGTGTTAATTATTAAGGGAGCACAAAAACTCTTTGCTTCCCTTAATAAAAAATATAATTTTCTATATACCAAACCAATATTTAAGAATATCATTTCAAACTATCTTCTTACTTTATTCTCATTTTCATTCTTCTTTTCATCATTTAAAAAATAATTCTTCATTTTTTATACTCCATATCATCTTTTCTTTCTTCCATCTAATAATTTAATACTCATTCGACTTTTACTCACTACAATAATTTTGTTTAATAAAATTCAACACTCTATCCCGTCACTTTTATTTTATATTTTTATCTTTTTAATATTTTAGTTTTTATGATTTTATATTAATATCAATTATCCGTTGAAATAAAATTAAAATAATTAAGAGTTAAATAATTTATTTTATTTTTTTCTAATTTAACAATTTATTTTAATTTTTTTTCTAATTTTGTAATCTTAATTTATTTTATTTTTATAATTTTATAGAGATAATCATTATTAAAATAAAAAGTGGATAAAATAAGAGTTTATTGAAGATTAAATAGAAAAAATAGAGTGAAAAAATGGATTTTTTGTGTGTCCAAATCAAATGAACCAAATCTCTATTTACTGGTAAAAAAATAATAAATTTTAGTAAAAATAAAAAAAAACAAAAAATAAATTTATTATAAAATAATTGATTTCAAATAATTAAGGTGAATTAAAAATCTAAACAATCACAATAATCAATAAGATTTTATAAAATATTATATGTAACCACATTCCCTCCTCATTTAACATGTAAAATGTATTCAACACTAATTAATCCACCTCACTTTCAACTTTTTATTCAACACCCAATTACACTTATTCAACTATTAAATAATTTTTTCAACAATTCAATTATATATAAAATTTCATAAAAAAAACTCATCCTTTTCAAAGGAAAAAAATCTTTCACTACTAGTATTTTTTATTTAGTCAAAAAGAAGTAAAGAGCAAGTCAAAAAACCCTTTTTAGACACTAAAAAATCACAAAAATCCCGCCACTAATCACGCACCATGCCCGAAAAAAAAAACTCATTATCTATTATCTATTAACTAAAAAAAATAATGAAAAACCCAAAACCCCAACCACAAGAAGATAAATCACCCCTTCACGTTCTTTTAATCTTCTTACTTCATTCCATCCACACACACACGCTTTTCTTCTTCTCTTTCAAGACGTGAGACCAACTTCACCATTTCCCTATAAAACCTACAAAACCATCAACTCAACCACAACCAAAAATGGACGAGAACGGTGAAGGCTCCGAAGAGTACTTATTCAAGATCGTCCTAATCGGTGACTCCGCCGTCGGAAAATCGAACCTCCTTTCGCGATTCGCGCGAAACGAGTTCGATTCGAATTCCAAAGCGACGATCGGCGTCGAGTTTCAAACGCAGACTGTGGAAATCGACGGGAAAGAAGTGAAGGCGCAGATCTGGGATACGGCTGGTCAAGAACGGTTCAGAGCTGTTACTTCGGCTTATTACAGAGGCGCTTTTGGTGCGCTCGTGGTTTATGATATTAGTAGGAGAGGGACGTTTGATAGCATCAAGAGGTGGCTCGATGAACTTACCAGTGAGTTTTTTCTTCTTACTTTCTTTTCTTGGTTTGATTATGTTATGCTAATTAGGATTAACCGTTTCATTTTAGGACTAATTCAACTATCTTTAGGAACTGAATTTGTATGTTCTACAATATTACTCTTCTGGAGATTGATTGATGCTGCATTTATCTCTAAATTGTTTTAAAGAATTTTGTAGCATTCACATCCATGAAAAAAATTGTATTAGTATCGGTGTCCAAAACCGACTCAGACGTTTGTAATTATATTTAATTAATTTTTTAAAATTCTTATTAATGTCGACGTGTCAGTGTCAGTGTCATGTTTACGTTCATGCTTGATGGAAAGTAATTTTTCTGAGTTATTGGATATGCAACCTTTATTTTTCTAAAATATATCTCTAATTATTGTTATAAGTGATTAGTGATATTACTAATTTCAGAGTCTCTAGCTAATGCCGATAAAATTGGGGAAAGAATTCTATAGAGAATTAAGACTAATTTTGATAGACTTTGAATTCGGTCTCCTGAGATTATACATTTTCATAAGAGTAATGCACGGGGAAATTTCATTAATTCATGTTTAAAGGGTGAAATTTCAACTGTTAGACTAATAGAAAAAAAATAGTGTACTAGTTGAATGTTTGATTAAAAACGTAATTAAATCCTTGTTTTTATAAGCTAAACATATTGTGAAGGTAAGTTAAATATGTATTTTGGACATTATTCTATTTTTATATGGATTTAACTTTGGTAAACTGTTATTTTATTGAATAAAAAAATACAGTCAATCAATTATAAGTTAAATTGCATGTAGGATAATTTTTTATTGCTCGAAACTGTATACTGTACTAATTAAATCCTTAATGATTATGCACTTACTTTATAAGAAATTAATAAATTAGGATATTTTAAAATGCAATACTATAATATGACATTATGGTGAGATATGATTAGACTTTTGTATAAAAAATTATATTACAAGTGCGTGATTATTAAACATGTTACATTAACTTTTTCAAATACCTAGGAATTGACTAGTTCTATGGTGCACAAGATTAAGTCTTGCATCATACACAAGTAAATTTTCACCATTAGTTTAATAAATCCCACCATTGAATGCAATGAGAGTGAGACTTGTTGATTCAATAATAAAAAATGAATTTGTGCATGGTGCAAGACTAGCTTTGACTTGAATTTCATCATCAGTGGCCTAAAATTGGGAAAATCATTAAAAAAGGAAAGCTAGGTTATTATTATATTAAAGTAAACATGGCCCTTGTGTGCGTATATGGCTTTAGATCATCGAGGGGTGAGAATTTCCTCCACTTATAATCCATGTTCAAATCATATAACATATGGAGTGTGAAAATAAATGGTGGATGATTCGATGGAGAAAATTTGATAGGTGGTAACCCAACGGAATCTTAAACCACGCTCTTGATACCACGTTAAGAAATGTGGTTGAACCTAACTCGACAATACAAAATCAACATGTAGCGTGATGGTTGTCCAGTATATTGTACGGTGTGACTCTGTAACAAACACTCTAGAGATCTTGCAAATATCTATTTAACATAACTACTTTATCATTAAATGTTGCTACCATCTTAACTGGTTCTTGACTGACTGTATTGTGAATTACGAAGATGGAATGCTGTTGTGTGCGTATTCTTAACTATAGACAACTTGAACTAGTTAAATAAACTTCCTTTTGCTTTATCTTATGTTATGTTTATCTGACACATTACTTGGAGATTGTGTAACCTAAGTTTATAATTGACTGAAATCATTCTTTAGCTGCCATACTTAATGAGATGTGTCATTGTCAGAACTCAGATTCTACCTTATGATATACTATAGATTTGTCATAGCATCAAATTTTGCATATTATTTTTGTTCTGTTGCTGCTTAACTTTAGTACAATATCATGAGTCAAAGTGTCAAATAGGAGTGAACCTTTATTTTTGTCTTAAAAAAACACAAGTGTAGTTAAATAATATTTATATTATGACTCCTATTTTTTAAACAAACACCCACCTCCCTTAGTTACTTATTGGAGGAATGGATCTTTTGCATTAGTCACATATCTCAATTGTCTGATGAAGATCAGATGACTTGTATTCCAAGTTGTATTCTAAATTTCCTAAACAGTCTAGATCTGTCGGGAGACTGCAAAAAGTCTTGGTCTGGGTTGTTAGGTCTGCTGCTGGGCTCAGTAAATAGCATTCAGAAGAGAAAATTTTATAACTTGCCTTAAAGCTCTTAATTCATATTGCAAATTTGCTTTCCATACAATTTTGTTACCGAATCTGATTTTTGCTTAAATTGCAGCTCAAAACGATAGCACTGTAGCAAGAATGTTGGTTGGAAACAAGTGTGATTTGGAGAGTATCAGAGAGGTGAGCACAGAAGAAGGCAAAGCTTTTGCAGAAGAAGAAGGTTTGTTCTTTATGGAGACATCAGCACTTGACGCTACCAATGTCCAAAAGGCTTTTGAGATTGTCATCCGTGAAATTTACAACAATATCAGCCGCAAAGTTTTAAACTCTGATTCCTATAAGGCTGAATTGTCTGTGAATCGAGTAAGTCTGGTTAATGGGGCAGGATCAAAGAAAAATCTGCTCGGTTTTTCATGTTGTTCTTGATCAGCTTTTAGCTTTGACTTGGAACTGAATATTGATACTTGTTGGACTTGGATCTGTTAAAGAGTAGTTTGTTGTATACATTTTTGTTCTTCTTTTGGGCCATTTTCCCTAGCTACTATTTTTTGGAATTTTTGTGTTTTCAAGTATCTAAATACTTATTTCTCTTTTGCTGGTTACTGATATCCAAATATGATGCTCCTATCGTCTCAATTTTTAATAAAATGAATCGTTAGGTTGATTTTAATAGTAAAATATTGTGTATAGTTAGAAAAAATCATTTTAATTAGTGATTGAAATTTGAAAGTAATAGTCATGGAATAGTTATGGTGTGTTAATTGCTATGGTTGTCTATATGAGGTTAGCAATAGAGCATGGGTTCCCAAAAAAACTCAATTTCGAATCTAATTGCATTATGATTAGTAACAGAGCATGGATGAATGTGGAAGAAGATAGAAGCCACGCAGATTGAGGAAATAGTAAAAGTGTCTCAAAAGGTTTGAGAGTGTTAACTTTGGAATGCCAAGAGAGAAAAAGTAAAATGGAATAAATTCATTGTATTATTCTTCTTTTGGAATGTACAAGACAGTACTATATATACTGTTAAGTAACAAACTACCAAAGGTAACTAAACTGAATTATTTGCATCATGTAATAGCCCCCACAAGCTGGACTATGGATGTCTAATAGACCAAGCTTGGAAACAAGAGAATCGAAAGAGGGAGCTGCCAAAGGCTTGGTGAGAACATCTGCCAATTGAGCAGTAGAAGAAACTGGTAAAAGGTGGATGAGACCAGTTTGGATTTTCTCACGAATGACGTGGCAGTCAATTTCGATATGTTTTGTCCGTTCATGGAAGGTGGGGTTGTGAGCAAGGTAGATAACATTTTTGTTGTCACAATAGACTGAGCTAGGTTGATCAAAGAAGATGTGGAGATCCTTGAACAAATACTGCAGCCATTGCAATTCACAAGTCAAGCTTGCCAAGGCCCTGTATTCCGCTTCTGAACTTGATTTGGATACTGTAGACTGCTTTTTGGATTTCCAGGATATGAGGGAATTGCCAAGGAACACACAATATCCAGTTACGGATCTGCGGATAGCAGGGCAACTTGCCCAATCTGAGTCTGCGAAGCCAGAGAGTTTGAGTGGAGAGGAAGATGAATAGAACAAACCTTTGGCAGGAGCACCTTTGAGATACTTGAGGACTCGAATTGTTGCAGAATGATGAACTTGCATAGGATGTGAGATGAATTGGCTGAGCTGTTGAACGATGAATGCAAGGTCAGGTCTGGTGGTAGTCAGATATAGAAGTTTTCCAATAAGCCTTCGATAAGCCGTGACGTCTTCGAAAGGTGGTGAGTTATCATCATGAAGCTTCAAGGAGGAATCGAAGGGAGTAGAGCAAGGTTTAGTAGCCAATAGGCCACTGTCTTCGAGCAATTCCAAAGCGTACTTTCTCTGATTGAGAAAAATGCCGTGAGTTGATCTGGCAACTTCTAGACCAAGAAAATATTTTAGCCTACCAAGGTCCTTGATTTTGAAAGTGGAATCAAGGAAGCTTTTGACATATTGGATTTCCTGCAAATCATTACCGGCTAAGACAATATCATCAACATAGACTAATAAGGCAGTAAAAGAAGAGTCATGTGATTTTGTGAAAAAAGAATGATCAGCAGAAGAATATGAGTAGCCAAGAGAGATAAGGGCAGTGGACAATTTCGAAAATCACTGTCTGCTAGCCTGCTTCAGGCCATATAATGACTTATGCAATTTGCAAACTTTGTTGGTCGAAGAAGTGCAAACTTTGTTGATCGAAGAAGTGTAAACTTCGTTGGTCGAAGAAGTGCAAACTTCGTTTGTCGAAGAAGTGCAAACTTCGTTGGTCGAAGAAGTGCAAACTTCGTTGGTCGAAGAAGCAGGGGGCAGGAATCCAGGAGGCAGATCCATATACACTTCCTCATGTAGATCACCATGAAGGAAGGCATTGTTGACGTCGAGTTGTTCCAAGTGCCAATTCTTAATGGCAACCACTGAGAGAAGGGTTCGAATAGAAGTAAGCTTCGCAACAGGTGAGAAAGTGTCGAAATAATCCACACCCTCCAGCTGAGTATATCCTTTTGCTACCAAACGGGCCTTGTATCGTTCGATGGATCCATCAGCATGATGCTTGATTTTGTAGATCCATTTGCAACCAATCGATTGTTTGCCTGTAGGTAAATCAACAACAGACCAAGTATTTGTAGATTCAAGAGCATCTAACTCAGATTTCATAACATTGTTCCAACAATCAAACTTGCAGGCTTGTTTATAGGTTTTGGGTTCTGTGAAAGAGCTTATGGACAGACAAAATAATTTGTGATCAGGACTACATTGGCTATAAGATAATACAGAAGAGAGAGGGTAGTTAGAGGAACCTGAGTCAGATGCTGGCAGCATGGGGGATAGCAAATTGCAGTGATAATCAGATAGATAAGCTGGAGGTTTAATATTTCGATTGGATTTTCTGGTTGGCACGGGAGGGGAGGGGCAAGGGGAGTTGTTAGTGTCATTTGAGGAAGAAGAGAGGTTAGTGGGAGAATCTGGCTGGGGGAGAGAGGTAGGAGAGGAAGGTTCATTTGATGGTGGAGGTGAGATGGGTGGAATGTTGGTGAAAATATCAGGTGAATCAAGGGGAGGAGGGACAAGAGTAGGAATTATAGGATTAGGTGCATGTGGGATGGATGCAAAAGGGAACACAGTTTCATAAAAGAATACATTCCTTGAAATGTAAAATTCATGTGTGATAGGATCACAAAGAAGGTAGCCTTTTGTGCCTTCCCTGTAGCCAAGAAAAATAGATTTCCTTGCTCTTGGTTCGAAATCCTCCTAGCTGTAAATCCAGTCATCTTGGATTGGGACAACTGCATAATTTGACAGCAATTAGGGGAAAATTTCACATCATATAAAGTGGAGTCAAAAAGAGTGGTGACAGAGATAATATTGACGTGAAATGAAGGAAAGTAATAAACATTATGAAGGACAAGTGAATCACATAGTAAAACTGAACCAGCAATAGTTGTAGTGACAGAGTCACCATTAGGCATTATCATAGATTTAGGTGCAATGTGGTATGTGGAAAGGAAACTGGCAAAGATATGGGTGATGTGATCAGTGGCACCTGTGTCAATGATCCACCAGTTATGACAAGGAAGATTGGAGGAATTCTTACCAGAGGAAGTATGAGGAGAGGTATGGGACACATAATTAGTAGTATAAACTGAATTAATCGAGGGAGGTGAAGGAGATTGCAAATTAGATTGTTGGAGGAGCTACAGAATCTGAGTGTATTGCTCTTGAATCGTAGACAAAGCACTTGGACTGGTGTTTGATGTGGAAGCAGAGGAAGATAATGCCTCAAGTTGAGGAGAAGCAGCATCTTGAATTGAGTTCACTGTAGAATCAACAGAATTCCTCACAGATGTAGTAGGCTTGCGTTGTTGAAATCCAGGGGGATATCCATGTTTCATGAAGCAAGTCTCAATGGTGTGATTGGTGCGGTTGCAATGAGTACAAAGTCGGTTTCCACGGCCACGACGACCACGACCACGGCCAGGGTTGTGAGAAGAACGAGAAGGTGCTTGAGAAAGGTGATTCACAGACGATTGAGACTCAATTGAAGAAGCAGAAGGTGAAAGAAGGTTGAATTGACGTTCTTGTTGAAGAACCAGATTAAACACATTATCAAGAGTTGGTAGTGGGGTCATCAACATAATCTGCGAGCGAACATGAGCGTATTGGTCACCAAAGCCCTTCAAGAACTTGATAACTTTATCTTGTTCTTTGAATTTGCGTAAGTCTGAAGCAGCACCACAGGAGCACGGTATAGCGCAAGTACAATCACGAATTGGCCGGAAGTTCTCGATTTCTTCCCAAAACGTCATCAATTTCGTGAGAACGAAGAGATATCGAGAGTTCCTTGTTGAAGACGAGCAACAGTTTCTTGAAGTCAGCAATGCGAAAAATATCTCCCTGAGAAAAACGATTTTCCAAACTTTTCCATACAAGAGAAGCACGATCATACCAGAGAAGAGATTTTGCAATTTCCTCAGAAATCAAGCGTTGAAGCCATGAGAGGACGAGATTGTTGCATCGCAGCCAAGGTTCGTATAGAGAGTCGGAGATAGGCGGAGGAGAAAGAGTGCCATCAACGAACTTGATCTTGTTCTTGGAGATAAGAGCCACTTTCATCGATCTAGACCAGATCTGGTAGTTCTTGGTATCAAGAACAGGTTGAACAAGAACAAGAGAGGGATTCTCATTAGGATGCATGTAGTAAGGATTGGAAGGATTGGTAGCAAAATCAGAGTAAGGAAGCGCCATGATCAAGCTGATGCAGCAAAGGAAGAAGAAGGCGCGGAGAAGATGAAAGGAAAAAGAAAGGCGCGGAAATGAAAATTCAAACTGATACCATGTTAACTTTGGAATGCCAAGAGATAAAAAGTAAAATGGAATAAACTCATTGTATTCTTCTTCTTTTGGAATGTACAAGACAGTACTATATATACTGTTAAGTAACAAACTACCAAAGGTAACTAAACTGAATTATTTGCATCATGTAATAGAGAGGAAGTCAGTTTCTTTTGGTTTTTGGTAACGGATCTGGGCTGCCTGCAAAATGGCTTCATATATTACGGAGTACTGGGAGTATTTAACTTGCCACCCGCACACATAAATCTGACACTCACAAAATAGCTTCTATTATTTTATGCCCTTACAATTTTTTGAGATTTTCTTTTGTGAAAAAAATTACTGGAAATTTTTTTTATACTTTCAAAAATTTCAAAATTTCCGATATTTTGAAATTTTCATAAATGTTAAATTTTATTTTTTGAGAAATTTATATTGGCAATTTGAAAATGAACTACTGAAAAATTGATTTGTTATCAGAAATTTTGAAAAAATTTCATTTGCACTTTAGACTAAATTTGTCCATAAGCAATTTGAGAATTATGAAAAAATGT